CAGACTTGGGACGGGTCTCCTGCGTCGTGAGCGCCCTGAGGGCCCGTCCGTGGCGGCGCGTCCCACGGGGCCTTCTCTGACGGCCAGCCGGTGCCCGCCGCCCCCGATGGAACCGTCGAGTTTGTGAAGAGATTCGTCCATGGACTGGACTTTTTGAGAACGTGCGCCCGCCTCCTCCCATCGGAGACCTCTCAGGCTAAAGACCCTGACGCTCGCTCCGAAGGGCTTGCCAACGCAGAGCTTACGGTCAGGCTCGGAGTGGAGAGCTGATTGGCCCTGTGGAGCCACTCACGACAACGCTGTCCCCGCCGCTGGCCGCCTCTGACCCACTCGCCCGTCCCCGGTGCCAGGCCTTCCTGCTAGTGGGCACGCGGCACTGGCTTCCGTTCTGAGGAGACGCCAACAAGCCAAGCTTCGGAGGCCACCACTGCCCAGCGCACGCCGCCTGTCCTCGCTGGTGTACAAGGCCTTGTGGGCACTGGCACTTTCCCCTGGACACCGCCCGGCAGAGATCCTGGACTGTCTGGGCCTGGCCTGGTGGTCTAACTTGACGCCGGGCTGCTGGCCGCAGAGGTCAGCAGTTAGAAGCCACCAGCCGCTCTGAAAGCAAAAGAGGAGGCTTTCTCCTCCTGTCCACATTCACGGCCGTGGAAACCCACGGGCGAAGTTCCACTCTGCCCTTCGAGGGGCGTGATAGTTGGCATCAACTTGATGGGGGTGAATTGGGGTTTGGGGCCTGGACAGAGGCCTTGGAGACTTCTCTTTGGCTGTCTCTCCCTCCAGCAGCACCCGCCCCCTCCCCCAGCGGGCACACGACCACTTTGTGTACAGGCACGGGTGTCGGCCTGCAGGCATCAGTCTAAGCGTGGGCCAGTAACAAGATTTGCCTACGGTGGTGAGAGGCTGGCAGCTCCACAGTTTATTGACGGTTTACTGACCCGGGGCTGGCCCTTGGCAATGGTCACGTTGAACTGAGTCACCACATCCCCCAGAGGGAGGCAGGTGTTATAGTTTTGGCAAATGGAGTTGGCTGATGGCAGTCCTCTGGACCCCCGTGAGCAAGTGTTACATAAGAGTGGTTTAGCCAGCTGAAGTGAGCTTAATAGCAAGCAAGAATGTGGCCATATTTGGCCTTACAAAAACTTGTTCTTCCCCTATCACCACAGGTTCTCTCACTTCCTGTATCCCAGCCCTGGACCCTGCTGCCTGGTGCTTTCACTTGACAGTGGGCAAGGCCCGAACAACTCAACAGCAGGCCGGGGCGCCGGGCGTGGTCTTTTTCTCCAGCCAGCAGCAACTGGCCTGCTGTCCCGACATGCAGCTGAAGGAAACCACGAGCCACTCAGCTGCAGGCTTTCTCTCACAGAGAAGCTCTTTCTGCACACTTTCTTCACAATACTGACTTTTGGGGACTGTTTGTGAGGAATCCTGCCCTCACCCCCACACCAAACTGAGCGTGCTTCTTGGCTTTATGTGCAGAATAGTCAAGTGCAAAGCAAAAGTGCCTCACCAGGGGTCAGGGATGTTGCAGCTACATCTGTGACTACCAGTAAACACCACCCCGTCTTTCCATGACACTACCGTTTGAGCCACTGGTCTCTGGAGGAAGAAGTTTGCTTGGGGGTAACCCAGATCCTTGCAGAGCACATAGTGCTCCTCTGTTGGCGGGTTCTTCTTGGACATGCCTGGACAGTACCTGGTTAGCTTACCTGCCACACTCAGTTTCAAGCCTTGAATTAGGATTAACCATCGATTTAGGGCTTCCTTATATTTTGATTAAATTTTGCTGGGAATAAGTGTCCCTAGAAGCCTTATAAAGACTCACAGCAGAAAGAATGTTCTGGGCTTAGCAACAGAGATGTCATTCCTGCAATGTCTCCGATTTCTAACTCCTCTACAGTCAAAGAGCCCTTA